TCTATCTATCTATCTATCTATCTATCTATCTATCTGGCTATCTATCTGTCTGTCTCTGTCCCTCTATCTATCTATCTATCTATCTATCTATCTATCTATCTATCTAGCTGTCTGTCTGTCTGTCTGTCTATCAGCTATCTATCTGTCTGTCTCTCTGACTGTCAGTCTGACTGTTTGTCTGTTGCCTATATTTACATTGATTGTACATAAATGAATGTGACCACTAAGTCTCTTGATATTTGATCATTCCTGTCCTTCCTCCAGGATTCCCCACCGTGTTTGTGATTCCATGGATTGTGTGTAGGATTTACCTTGAGGACACAGGGTGAGCAGTTGAGCACAGCATAATCAGACAGTGACAGAACTCACATGAGACACTTAATAGCGGATATTTAAACCTGAGAGATAGAAATGAGGCAAAAGAAGATTAAATGCATTCCCATTTGCTACCGTTGTTATGAAAGCACTTGTAACTCTTTGATGTCTCCTCCTCATAACAGATGCTGGGAGAGAAATGATGCTCCGATTCCCTGGCGGGTGATTAACTGGCCAATCATGGCATCTGTTATTGTGAGTATAACCTCACACCAGCACTTCTAAACACCGAGACCAGCCCCATACTGTATGCATTATGTCAGGCAAGGAGGGATTCTGCCAGCAAAGCAGACGCGGGGATGTGCTGAGTCTCACAAACAGTTTCCATGTCCTGGATGGGACGTGAGCGCAAGCATGTCAGGAAGCACGAGCAAACACTCTGTCACAAGTGCCTCTCTCAGCACACGTGCCAGGACTCTCTCTTGTGTCCGCTGTGCCATTTCCATTTTGTAAACCCTCACCTGTAAGAGATCAAATGTCTTTGGACAGCATGATGGCTGTGTTTGACAGCTTTGCCCGAATGCATCCAGGTCAAAATGTTTCTGTTCTTCAGCCCTCCAGAGCCTAGGAATGCACTCGTAATAATAAAACATCATACAATTTCTGGCAAACGTGCTCAGTTCTAGTGTGTTTAGATGACTCTCTCACAGAACTCTGCACACCATGCTACTGTGTAACTACATCTCTCTGCTACCCAGAATGCCACTGGTAGATGAACCTTTGGCCAAGATGTTCTGTTTGTTTTGGTTGAAGTTTTTATGGTGGGATTAATTATGAGGAACAGAAACAGGTGGCTTCTTTTGTTTCTACTATCTGTCTGATGGATTCAAACTAAATGGAAATTAAAGATGATCAATTTACATTTGAAGTTATGCATTTGGCAGACCAAATCTAACTTTTGGAGCATTCAGGGCATAGATTTTATTAACTTGAAATTGTTTCTAGTGTCATTTTAAAGGCCAGATCAATGGGATAAAGGGATAATTCAGCCAAAAATTAAAATTGTGTCATAATTTTCTCACCCCCATGTTATTCCAAACCAGTATGACTTTCTTCTGTGGAACATAGTGAAGATATTTTTGTCCATCCAGTGAAACTCAATGGTGTCAACACTGGACCTATCTGAGTTTCATTTTATGGACAAAAAAAAATCAAATAATATTGGTTTAGAATGACTTAAAAGGGTGAATAAATAAATAGTGACAATTTTAAGTTTTTTGTTGAACTGTTCCTTTAAGACATTGTGTTACAGTGTGTGCAATAGTCCTGTAATCTGGTTCAAGTCTTACAGAATGTTTTGAGAAGTTCTTGTGTCAGATCCAGTGAAGAGTGGTAATGTTTAGTCTGGATAATGTCATTGTATAAAAGAGGAATGATATAAAATCTTTTTCTCTTCCTTTCTGTGTTCTACAGTTAAACTTTATTCTGTTCATCAGCATCATTCGAATCCTGGTCCAGAAACTGAGGTGTCCTGATGTCGGAGGAAACGATCAGTCCCAGTACAGGTATCGCAAATGGATGCCAACTAATATTCTATTCTGCAAACAGGGCATTGGCCACCATGGTTGAACCTCTTACATGCTATTCAGGTCATAGCTGAGATCTCCCTTTTAAATCTACCAGGAGTTGCATTCTAGCATGAATTTCAGAAAAATGGTTGGAAATGGATGGCTGCTTTCCATTTTTATCCAGGTCTTCCGCTATCTATTGTGCACTGCTAAATGTGTATGCATTGAAATGGGGGTGAAATATTTATGCCGTGAGTTTTTGTTCTGCTGAGAGTGGCACGTTGGAAATCCTGTTACTCCTTTTTCTGTTTTTAGGAGGTTGGCCAAATCCACACTTCTCTTGATCCCTCTCTTTGGCATCAACTATGTTGTTTTCGTTTACATCATAGATGAAAATGGAGAGATGGAAAACTATAAAATATTCTTTGACCTTGGTCTGGGATCTTTTCAGGTGAGGAATATGCCTAAATGTGTCACTAGTGATTATATATATCTACTTAAGCATTCACTACCGTTCCATAGTTTGGATTTTTTTTTTGATGCATTAAATTCATCAGAAGTGACATTAAATACATACATTGTTACAAAAAAATCTATTCCAAATAAATGCTGTTCTTTTGAATTTTCTACTCATCAAAGAATCTTGCAAAAAAAAAAAAAAGTATCATGCTTTCTACAAAAATATTACACTGAATACTGGAGTAATGGCTGAAAATTCAACTTTGCCAACACAGGAATAAATTACATTTTAAAATATATTAAAATAGAAACAGTTGAGAGAAACAGTAAATTTAAATTATAATACTATAATGTAATTTTAATTGATTTTAAATTATAATAATATTTCACAATATTACTGTTTTTTTTTTTTTCGAATAACATAAAAAAATCTTACCGACCTCAAACTTTGGAACGATATATGATGCTTTATCAGTGTTGTACCACATTAACTCTTTGTGTTCCATTCACAGGGCTTGGTGGTTGCGATTTTGTACTGTTTTTTGAATAGTGAGGTTAGTCTGCAATTTTATTGACCTTTGATGCATCTCACTTTAGCTCTATTCCAAAACCTGAGCTGCTTACTGCCTACATAGGCAGCTGACTTCTAAGACTGCATCCTAACTGTTATTGAATCTCATAAGTGAGCAATTTGAAAAACTTTTTACGTAAGCAGCAACACAAATAGTACAAAAAAATTACAAAAATACAACCACACATTGGGTTATATAATCATTTCCATTACACTGAACTTTTGACAGTGCTTTTGAGTATCAGATGACATTTTTATTTATAATCAACTTTTTGTTTTCAGTTCAATTCATCATTGATTTGTTTTTTAACTGAGCTTGTCTCAATGCATTCTGGCATTGGCGTCTTTATTAATGGTACATACAGTGCTTCCTTTGAATTTGGTCAAAACAAGGTATTTTAAAAGGCAGTATGATAAAGTTACAACACTCTTCATTTCTGTGCATATGATGCCTTAAAATGCTACCTCAGTTCAAATCAAGTTCAGTTCAAATGCTAGTTCAAATCGACATGAAACATTCACAACCCATTTTACTTCTTTATGAGACGTGTTTCTGAGTGAAAAAGGAGATAAACATGTAGGATGAATTGTTTAGGTCTTGTAAAAGTCGTCTCTGTATGAAAGGTGGTTGATGGGAAAGGCATGAAAACAAGTTTTTTCCTGAGGCAGAGCAAGTTTAATTAAATTCTGATGAAAGATTACAAACATTTGTTATGTTTGCAATAATAATGCCCTGAATCAATTACAATAAAACTAAAAACATATTTTGAGCATACATTGGTTCAATCTTGATTTCATGTTGACTTGCCACCCTGTGTGTGGCTGTGCTAATGCTAAAGACCATGCTAACAGATGCTATATTTGGCTGCTTTGCAGGTCCAGAGCGAACTCAAGAGGAAGTGGCGGAGTTTGCGTTTAAAGCGTTACATTGGTCGCGACTACCGTCTGCACAGTTCGTCCATATCCAGGAACGGCACAGAAAACATGGCCCATCGGAACTCCAGAGCCCAGTCTTTCCTACAGACTGAGACCACCGTGGTGTGAGACATCCAGAAGCGGCGCTATATGAATCATGCTTTTACTTCACTGCCCCTCAGCTAACAACTTCAAAAGCTTTAAGCTGAAGAGGACAAAGCTTTCTGAAACATGAGATTGACATGCAGGAGACATGATGAGGATTCAGCATCTCTGAGGCACAACACTGTTTTGTCAGTATACAATGCAAAATCTCGTTTCATAGCAAATTTTGCTATAAACCACCAAAATAGCACACTAAACCAAACCTCTGTGGGATAGTATTGGTGGCATTAAAAACTACAATTCCATTTTTGCAGATGCTGATTATATATACATTGCTCTTTTTAAACTCTTTCATTGCATTAGGGTCAGATTATATAATAGTGTTATGTAAATGCTACTTAAGGCCCACAGCAATTTTCTTAGACGTTAATGGAGATGCAGCACCATGCTATCAACACATGAAAACTCAGCCACCTCACCAAGAACATGTCTTGAATGAATGCAAGAAGTGGGTCACCTCTATGCCAAACTCAAATGTGAGGTTTTATAAAGAGGACATTATAGCTGGAGGTGTCCACATTAGCCAGGGACTCATTTCAGGAGAGTATGTCTTACTTCAGATACATGTTGAAACTGAAAAGTCAGTCGTGCATTCAAACGAAAAATGGTGATTGTAAGAAAAAGCAAACATTCTTGCACTGATATTGAACTGTTCCTGCATCTACAGCATTTCATAATGTCATTTTGTCATTATACTACCCCTTGGATTTTTTCCCCCTCTTATATACCTTGAAGAAAAGCCACAGTATGAGAAAATGTGAACTGGGATACAAGATTATATAAGATATGTATATTCTAGCACGTGAATATAATTCATTATTGTCTGAGGAGATTCAGTATAGACTTATGAATGAAATGACAAATATGTGGCATAAATATTTAGTTCGCCCACAAAAAGATGTGTCCAGTGATGAACCAAACCACAACTCGCTGATATTACTCCACAAACTCTTTTATTTCCACTGATCCACTGATCAGTCATTTTAATAGAAGGTGTTTCTGATTATTTTTGCTTTTGTGTTGCTCTGCCTCACATTGTCAGGGGGGTTGGGGAATTGTACACTGCAATGGATCCTGCGGTCTGTGCTCTTTCCATTCAACTGAAAAACAGATAATTAATCCAGTAGACAGTTGGATGCAGATTTAGGTCAAGTGAACTGACAAAACAGTGAGTGTGAGGGCGTATGAAAGTGACATTTCAGTGTGAGCTGTGCTCTGCGTTATTGTTGCAAACAGATTCTAGGAACTGCAGTCCAGAGACTTCACAATGGATTGGAGAGGAGATCGGATCTCTTACAGCCAGGCCTGAAGAGCGAGAGGTCCCCAGGACCATTCATTTAAAGTGACACAGATGCCACGGGCTGAGGCATTCAGCACCATTATCAGATGGTCAAAGGGAGAAGAAAAGATGGAGCTTTAATTAGAGCTGGCAGAAAGGAATTGTGGGTTGTCTGAATTAAATATTGAGGGAGGGTTTCCGAGTTTATTGTGTAAGAAAGTATGCCTTCATTTTGAAAGACGTCATGGTCTGTGAAGAATCTGGTGTGTTTGACAGATGCATTTATGATGTAAAAAATATGTACAAACAGAGGCCATAATGTTGTGCACTTCTCTTTTATCTGCAATGCTTAATTGGAAAATTGCTAAGTTTTTGCGGTTCTTACATTTTTGCTGAATGTTTCTTGTAAACTGTATTGAGATTTTTCATTAAATGTGAAAGTTGTTTTTGAACTGTTTTTAGTAAGTTTGTGCATCTACAAAAAATGTGTAGAAACAATTTTCACTCAGAAATGGCTAAATTTCACAATTATTACAAAGAAACACAGCAAGTAACAGTGAATCAAATGCAAAACTTGAAATAGAAAGACTAAAATTATATTTTTTTGTAAAACGTTCTCCAATAATCTTTATTTACAACTCTAGTGATTCTTTTTTGGCACCACTAATGTAGCTGATTTAATTTGAATTTAATTTTCAGCACATATTCAGTTAATGCGCTAATTGAAATTATTTAATACACCAAAATAATTTGCTAGTGCAATGTAGATAACATTGGTAGGGTTTGTTTTTATGGATCTTGGGAACAATAAATGGAATGTTAAAAACGGACCAGTGAAATACGATTACACTTCTCCCTTGCTGATCAACAGATGAGCTTCACCATCAACACAGACGATATCACACGCAGATGATGTTTTTACTCTTTTCCTGTTCTATTGCTGTCTGTTGTCTTATCACCTTCCTGTATCCTCAAAAAGGAGTGAACATGCTTCTCCTTGGAAGCACACAGCAAAAAGTAACAGAGAGAATAACAACTCTCATTTTCATGCTGATGGCCTCCACATTCACAGTTCTTACAATTCATTTACAAAGCACTGTTTCTTCATGCAACATTTACATGTGCCATCAACTCCATAAAAACAATTGAGCTAACAGAATGTCAAATGAAATTTCATGGTAATTCACACAGCCTGATTATGGAGTTTCGTAGCTTTCAGTGTAACAGTTTGGATGAAGATGAGGCCTTTGGGCCAGCTTTCATGGACATGATGGTGTCCAGTCTGGGGAATAAAGGATGGCACACTGCCATGGCAGAGATGTTCCAGTCTTCTTGTCCCATGCTCATTAGTTGCATTTGTTAATATACAAATTCATGCAATTAACTCAATCACACCAGTGTTATATTAGTATTATTTATTAATATTTAATTAGCTTTTATTTTTTATATGTTCAATTGTTTATTTTAATTGTAGTTTAAGTTTTAGTAATTATATACTACAATTTTTTTTAACCAATGATTTCTAATTTTCACGTTTTTTTATTCACTTGCCCTCAGGGCATCCAAGATGTAGATGAGTTTGGTTTTTCATCAGAACAGATTTGGAGAAATTTAGCATGACATCACTTGCTCACCAATGGATCCTCTGCAGTGAAAGAGTGCCGTCAGCGCTGATAAAAACATCACAATAGTCCACAAGTAATCCGCACCACTCCAGTCCATCAGTTAAAGTCTTGTGAAGCGAAAAGCTGCATGTTTGTAAGAAACAAATCCGTCATTAAGGTGTTTTAACTTTAAACTAGTTTAAATATGAGTCCATGAGTCTCTGTTGTCCTCTCACTTCAAAATCCACTGATATATTTACTTAGAACTGTTTTGGACTTTTTCCGCTTGTAAACAGTACTAGTATCTTTGCATATTTCTGTCCTGATTCAGCCATAATGACTTTTTCACTGGATAAAGCAATATTATGGACAGAGGACTCATATTTTAGCCAGAACCAATTTTTTGAAGTTAAAAACAAATTAATGATGGATTTGTATAATGGATTCAGTACAAACATGCAGGTTTTTGCTTCACAAAATGTTAAAGGGATAGTTCACCCAAAAATGAAAATTCTGTCATTAATTACTCACCCTCATGTCGTTCCAAACCCGTAAGACCTTTGTTCATCTTCAGAACACAAAATAAGATATTTTTGATGAAATGTGAGAGCTCTCTGACCCTGCATAGACAGCAACGCAACTGTAATGTTCCCAGGTCCAGAAACGTAGTAAGGATATCGGTAAAACAGTCCATGTGACATCAGTGGCTCAACT